GGAACCCAGGCGCGGGTTCCTCGAACCCAGCACGCCTGGGTTCGAAGGAACCCAAGCACGGGTTCCTCGAACCCAGCACAGGTTCCTCGAACCCAGCACGCCTGGGTTCCTTCGAACCAAGCACGCCTGGGTTCGATGGAACCCAAGCACGGGTTCCTCGAACCCAGCACGCCTGGGTTCGAAGGTACCCAGGCTTGGGTTCCTCGAACCCAGGCGTGCATGCTCTGTACTCTCTTATCTCTCTCTCCGCCTCTGATCGATGTAAGTATAAAATCCTCATCTTTGGTTTTCTGTTTGTTTGCTGAGAAAGTAGGTTGGAAAATCAGAGAAATTGCTGACTCGGGTATTTTAGTGTTTGAAATTTCATATTTGATAGTGATAGTATAGTCATCTAACTCCTTGTCTGCTTAAGTCTTATGTCTGTAGTCAAGACATTTGCTTGTTTTGCTGTTTCTGACTCGGGAGCTGAGCTCATTGATGCTGTTCTTGATGTTGTGAGAAAGGAGGCAGAGAACTATGATTTGTCCTAGGCGCTGGTGCTGGGTTCCTTTGAACCCAGTAGGGAGGGGAAGGAGAAAAGGAAAGAGAAGGAGAAATTTTTTTATTTATTTATTAAATTATATATTTGGTGCCAAGTCACAATATTTTGAAGTTCGAGGTAAATTTAGTTGAAAAATGAAAGTTAAGGGACTGAATCGAGGATTTAACTTTTTTTTTTTTAAACCTTTAATCACCAGTGGGTCCCACAAAAAAATTGGCAACAAGTAGACTTCCAGCTTGTGGGGTTCCAAGTTGGCATGCCAGGTTGTCAAAAAATTCTGAGTTGGTGCTGACATGCGCATACTTGACGGAAGCCAACGGTGCACGTGCTACATGTGACGTTCCGGCGTTAAATTTTGCCTCATTTCCTCAACTCGAAAACGTGGAGGGTAAAAATTCATATATTGTAATATGGAGGGCAAAAACCTTAAAAGTCGAAAAGTTCAGGGGCAAAATGGTACCTTTTGCCAACAAAAATATAGAAGAATTAGAAGTCTTGGAAAAGGCATTTTGGTATAATCAGTTTTAAAGGGCTGATTTTGACAACGTTCCCCCTTTGTTCTTGGCAAGCAGATTCACTTCTACTGTGGCTAATATCTTCCT